GGCGGCCGCACTGGGCGCTGAAGGGGCGGCGTGCTGGGCGTTGGAGGGCGGCAAGGTAGTAGCCGAACGGTGAGCGGCTGGGCTAGATGTGGATGACTGGATGGGTTTGAGAGACCCAATTTATCTAGCGTTTTCCAGTTAATTGGAGGAAAAAGTAAGCGCCAAAGTAATTGGAGGGAAAAGTAAGCGCCATGGTCAAGAACTGGAGGGAAATTTAGATATATTCTTTTTTTTATCAAGGAGAACTGGAGGGAAATTGTTTTGGAAGAACCAGGACATTGTTACATATATTAATTTGTTTGGCATGGAAATTTTCCAAAAAGTGTTTTTGGCATGGAAAAATAGAGTATATTTTATTTATTATTTTATTGATTGAAAGGGGAAATTAGATATATCTAAATAGTAATGGTTTTATAAATTTGATTTACGTAACATGTGCTAAATAACCTATAACATGGTTTCTCTGGGCTAACTAGTTGATATAAAAAAATGAGCTTGAAGCTACCACGAACCTTAGACGACGAACGGGATGGTGTTGTTATGAACAGTGGTGATCGGCTTGCAAATCCCGCTCCTGATCGGTCGTCTCGACCAAGATCGTATCATTCCCACACGCCATCCCATGGAGGCTATGACCGGCGTGTGACAAAACTGCGACTAACATCAATGGTAGAAGATGTGACCCGCCCCGGAACATGTTGTGACCAACGAGGTCGACGATGATCATTATTGAGAGCATATGTGTCAGCAGCGACCGACCGCTGATATGCGTCAGCTGCGACCGACCGCTGACGGCGTTGTGATAACATATCTGAAAGGCTGGCACATCAATCTAGTCTCCTTCTTTGTTCCACCTCCATGGTGACAGAGCATAAGGGGAGGGTATCCCAGCTACACCCACGGTTCAAAAAAACGACTGTACTTGCAATCGTACCAGAAAAAGGAAACTTGCGACCTCGATGGTTGGTTAGAGAAAAACATTGTAACTCAATCGACCGATATGACTCCTGGTCGATCGCCTCAATCAAGATCGCGTTATCCCCACACGACTGCCAATGGAAGCTATGACCGGTGTGGGAGAAAGCTAAGACCGACAATGCTCCTGATGGTCGACTGATCTTTAAAGAATAAATATTGTAATTCGACCGGCCGATCTTGCTCGGTCGCCTCGACCAAGATCGCATCATCCCACACGACTGTCCATGGAATCTATGACAGTGTGGAAGAAAGTTATGACCGACAATGCTAAAAGTTACGACCGGACTGGGAGCATGTTGTGACCAGCGAGGCCGGCGACTTTTGATCGGTGCTGAGGGCACATGTGGTGGTCCTACAAAGTGGTAGCGACAATATACGTCAGCTACAACCGACCGCAAACGGTGTTGTAAGGACATATCCGAGAGGCTGTCAAATCAATATACTCTCCTCCTTTCAAGGACGTTAACCGATGGACTTGTGGCTCCCTGGCTGCAGCGTCGGCCACCTCGACTAGCACCGGATGCGCGAGGTCAAGCAGCCGGTGGACGGGCTGTCCACTCCTCCTTGTTGAACGGCTTTAGCGACACACACGACGCCCCACGGCGCGGCTGCGACCGCAAGACGGTGTGGAGTTCCCCGACCACGGCGAGGCGCGACAATGGCAAGAGGTAGGCGCGGGTTATGGCCGATTTTGTCGGCACGAGCTTGGGATGAATGGCGGGGGGGGAGGGGGAGGGGGCACTCCATGGTGCCATTCAACGGCCGAAGGAGGCGCGCCGGTGAAGGAGCATCGAGGTCGGAGGCGGCGGACGATCTATTCGGGTCGGGGATACATGAAGGACCCCACAAACCAGTGGTTTTTTATAGCGGACAACACGATTATTATAGCGGATGGTCCGATTTGCGGGATCTACTAGAGATGCTCCTACATTGGACAATAGTTTTGAAGACGCGGACCTGCGGTTGGACTAAAAAAAACTAGAATCGATGACCTTGATAGTTCGCTTAGCTCCATTGACCTTCCACACACTAAAACAAAAAATATGGTTGAACCAAGTATTCTTATTTTTTTTATTTTTTATTTTGGAGCAAAAACCAAGTGTTCTTAAAAAAACGTTGAACCGATGTCTCCGAAAAGCCCAATACACCGCGGACCGATACACCTTCAAACCTGGACGACGCGTTGGTTCCCTTTTCTCCGGTCGGTTGTTGTAGGTCTTCCACTCCTTTGTGCGTATTGAGTCAAATACTTAATTGTCTTCCACTCCTTTTTGAGTATTGACGTCAAATACTTAATTTCATAAGATCATTTCAAAGTATGCATTTCACATTTATGGTCGTTGATTTATCCTAAAATTCACGTAAAAATATGGTTCATATGATATTCATTGTAACCATACCAAAAATAGTTTGGTATTTACCAACCAAACTATATTGGTTTTTCATACCATATTACCAAAAAATGAAAACACTATTTACCAAAACAAAAACGTATTATCATGTTGACACATGGGCCCTATGTGTCAAGGTATTTGTGCTCTATGTATGTTGTTGATTTTAGTTTTTCTAGTCCCCATTATAATAGAGAATGTAACACTATGTATCGACCATGATTATGTGTTACTACTGTTGCTACCTAACACATTTCAGTAACACATATTTATATGTTACTATTACAATATCGCGGTAACACATTTTGAGGCCTTGTATAGTATGTGTTACTATTAGTCGTTCGACACAGAATGTTGTGTTACAGTAATTTCCCGTGGCACACATTTTTCAATATGTTACATGATTGTGTTACTTAAAGTCTGTTTTGTTGTAGTGTTCAGAGTTTGAGATTCAGTAACTGTAAATAGACTCCCCAGTTTAGATTGTGCTACTGAGTTAGAACCAAGCATAGACTTCATAAACCAGATTATGTGAAATCATAAATTATTCCATGGTTTGAGGATGTAATTATGTGAAGCAGCACACGAATCGGCCAAAAATTCTACAATCGGGAGGCAAAATTCTACTACCTGTATGTCTACTACAAACCAGATTGGGGCCTGAAGCAAACAAAAATTATTGGAGCGGGCAAGGATGGCTAGATACCTTGAGATTGTCCAAATTTGGACTGAATGTGTCGAGACGGATGGCTTAACTACTACAGTATTAGCAGCATCAGAGTTGCAGAGTAGTGAGTGACCGAGTGAGGGGATCACCG